TCTCAAAAAGTGTCAACAGTCGCAGGGATGTGGGGGGTCAGGTGCGCGAAACGCAGAACTGTCGTCACTTTTGGAGCGACAGTGTTGTTGTGCGGTCTCAAAAGTGTCAACAATCACAAAGAAGCGGGGGGCGCCTCCTCGTCCTCGGACAGGATCTTGGCGGTCGCGAGGTTTGCGAGCTGGTCTGGCTTTCCGACAATTGCGATCCCGGATGCGTATGCTCTCATCACCTCGTCAACCGTCTTGGAGATGAACTTCGGGCGCTCACTTGCGCCAGGGTACATGGGCTGCCGGAAGGCTTCCGAGCACTCGAGCAACTCCAAGGGCACCGTACCGAGCCCGTAGTCCGTCATCGCCTTCATCAACGCCGTGATGTAGTTCCTCACTTTGCTCAGTATCGCAAACGACATCGGCATGGCCATTCCGTTCATCGCCTGCAGGACTACGTCGAGTTTGGCCGCCGCCACTTCAAACAGCCCCTAAGGGTCAAACAACGGTCTGATCTCCGGCGTCCAGTTGCTGGCCAGCTGCGCTCAAAAGCAAGTGCTCATCTGATAGCGTGGGCCTTAACCCGGCGTGCATGAGCGCGCCGACCACCTTCATGTTCGGTTACGCGATGAGACGCTTCTCGGTCAAGGTAGGCGCCGATACAGTGTAGTGCATCTCGGATATCTGCTACCTTCTGGCTTTGCGCTAGCAACCGCCTCTTTGACGAACTCAGCATGCGTGAAGAACTTACTCTTCGGCCCTTGAATTAAGACTGCCGTGACTGGCCTCGGGCCCTTGAGCGTCTCCCGGTCCTTTCCCCTCATCTCATCCACACGAGTTCAAGGAACCTGTACAGCCTCGTCTCCTTTCTCGTTGGCGGGCAGCCCTTTTTCCGCAGGCGGTCCCCCAAGAGGATAGATACGACCTCCGTGCCCTGGTCCTTCTTTTCCTCTTCTTAACCCCTTGTACGGCCCCACCGTCGATCCTCCTCCTTTCCCTTCTTGCCTCGTCCGCCACATCCTGGATCTCTTTGAGTGTCTTCCCCTGCAAATCCTTGATCCTCCTCACCATCTCCAGCAACACCGACAGAGGGTGTTTGGCCCCTACCCTCTGAAGACCACTGATGAGATGATCCACGGTCGCCTTACCGGCCACCTCGATCCGCAGATCATTGAGCTGGAATATGCTGAAGGACTTGGTCGCCAACATCATCCTCTCTGTTGCCATGCGCTTCACAGAGATACCGATCATCTCCAAGTACTCCTGATTCTGCATCCGGCTTTCCGCGCTGAGGATGTTATCCAGCGTCAGGACGTGCTTAGGCTTCTTCTTCGGCTTCCAACTCTGCTGGAAGCGTGGTGCGCGAAATGCAGAACTGTCGGCATTTTTGGACTCGCGGTTTCTCGTGGGGTCTCAGAAGTGTCAACAGTCACAGGGATGCGGGGGGTTCGGGTGCGTGAAACGCAGAACTGTCGTCACTTTTTGAGGGCTGCTTTGTTATGCCGTCTCAAAAGTGTCAGCAGTCACAGGGATGAGGGTGGTCCTCATCGCAATCCTCTCAACTGTCATCGCTTTTGACACCTCACATTGTTGTCTCAGCTTAAAAGTACTCACAGTCACGGATCAGCTGGGTCGTCATCT